GAATTTAGATGAAAAACGATTATTTTGTTGTGTCGTGGACGAAGTCACTGCCCTGAAAGCAATTACGGCACGACCATGGTGCTACATTGTATATTTGCCGATCGCTATCCAAGGTTAACACAACTTCGAATCCAGGCGTGCACTCGTCGGGGTCGAATGGAATCGATAAACATGCTCAGAAGGATTTTCTTTGTGTCTTTTCAAACAAAAACAAGTATTTATTTATATAGAAACAGTATACTATTTTTGGTGGTTTTTAAAAAATAGTAAAGTTAAAAATAGCATTCTAATTTTATCAATATTAAAAATAGCTAGAAGACTAAGTTTTGTAAGGACATATTAGTCATTCCCAACAATCCCCCACGAATGATTAACTAGTTCTTAAAAAATATATTTTCTGAGCAATGAAAAAAAATAAACTTAAGCCTTAATATCTTACGATTTGAATTAATTCATAGTGAAGTGAGGCAACAACCTAAATAATGAAAGTGAGTTGCCTCTTGAACTTCCAGTAAGTATAGTCGAGACCCCCACAACACATTTTATTCCTTGTTTTTCGATTCCGCGATATAAATCAAGTGCTATTAATGGCCATGCACATAAAACCTTGGTTCATGAAAGCTCTAGAAAGATACTTTTAACTCTTTCATAAAAGGCGGCCCACCTTCACAATCACGTTATTGCTTCATCAGGTCTATCACAGATAAACCACTCAAAAATTTGAGCTATGAAGACTTTATATCCCATCCATCAAGTTCATACAGACCACCCAAATAAAGGGCTCATAGTACATCACAACATAAGTGATCCATCAAGTCTATACAAACCACCTAAATAAAAGGCTATGGATTTTCACAAGTGTATTATCCATCACACACCTTAGAGTTTTAGTCTCATAGAAACTAAAGACTCAAGAATTGCCCTCTTTGTTAGACCTTTGGTAGGAGGATCCACTCATACTCCAAGGAAATAACTTCACCATTGAGATAATTTTCCACAGTTTGCTAAATAATTTAAATAGCAACATTTTATTGTTAATTGACATTAGATGTAATTAACCAATAAATTCACAAA